TCTTCTTCTTCTTCTTCTTCTTCTTCTTCTTCTTCTTCTTCTTCTTCTTCTTCTTCTTCTTCTTCTTCTTCTTCTTCTTCTTCTTCTTCGCTCTCCCCTGCTAGATCTCATTTTCTCTCTCCTCCCCCTCTTTCTCCCCCTCCCCCCTCCAACTTGATGTTCAACTGATTTCTATACATATGTGGCCCTTTATCCTGCTAAGCAGAGTGCCTCTTCTGCAGGCAGCCATGTTCCGATTTCGACGGTAGTCAATATCTTTTCACACTGACCAGAGTACACCTGTTTCAATTTTTAGGTCATAATTTGATAGGTTTGATGGAAACAACCGACCTTCAGGCTAATAGTCAAATCTTTCGTTTGCGGGCGGAATCAACGGGATGCGATAGGCCATAATGAACATCCGGGTCAGTTTAGATAAAAACAAAGAAGAGGTCACCTGATACAACGCACACTTGCCAGTGATCTGATCATACACCTAATTGATCAATGGGCATCTACACTAACCTGTTGTAGCGTGCTCCTGTGAGGTAGGAATGAAGAGATTCTGCTTCTCTCACTGATCGCAGTTGGAGGTACCTGAACAAGAAAGAAAAGGTTATGTTATTGGGTACGAGTTAGGTTTTTCTTTATGAAAGTCTGTATGTTTTTTGTCTGAGTTACCATCCTTCTTTCAACAGACACCATTGCTGCAGCGCAGGACAGTGTGAAGTGGAGGTCCAAGATCGCCCACGCCAGTCGGCACGGCACCGGATGATGATGATGACCATCCTTCTGGACGTGAACATGACGTCATTTTGAAGGCAGCTCGCTTGCCAACAGGGTCGCTTTTAAGCGCAAGCGGGCTATCCCGAAAAATGCTGTTTTGAGAAAATCGAAGGTAACGTTCTTTGCCCCTTGTTCAGTTTCTTTTAAAGACAAGGGGAGTTTTCTCCATAACTTAACAAATATACACACAAATGAAACCAAACTTCTCCTATAGGTAGGGCAATGCCCACTTTTGATGTAGGTCAAGATTTCTGGAAACCCCCGAAATTTGGGTTGGCCCGCTTGTCCTTAAAAGCGACCAGTTAATAGTAACAGTAGAAAGTGGGAAGGAACCAAGAGAGACAACATAATAAATGTGAGGCAGCGTGGTGGAATCAGGCTCTCGTCAATTTTTGGGCATGTTGAGTTATTGGTATCATCTTAAAGCTTGTTCATTTGTCTTGTTTTCAATGAAAAAATCACCCATCCATCTTCAATAGAAGTGGAGATCTTTTGGATTGAAGGAGGTGGGGTCACCTGATTTAAGAGGTAAAATTAACGAGAAAATGGACGCCAAATCTGGTAAATTCCAAAGGTGGAGAGTCCATGGAAACTGTAAATGTATATTTTTGTGCCTTTAATCGGTTGAAATCCTCAAAGGAATGTGTTTGTAAATGGACAGAAAAGGTGTTGAGCCACCCCCCCCCCAAAAAAAAAATAAAAATAAAAAAAAAATAAAAATAAAAAAAAAATAAAAAAAATTGATAAACATTGCTTAACAGGGAGAAAACTGCTGTTTTCTTCGATTTCATTATTTTGACGAGAGCCTGATTCCACCACGCTGCCTTAAACATAATGTTATCGAAACACTCCAGCAAACATGTTTTTTTGAAACATCAAAGCTAATCTCGCGTGTTATTTGGCCGTCAAAAAAGGTAACATTTTGATGTGGTTTGGAGCTGATCTTTTTGCAACCATGTCTACCCCCTCCCCCAACCTCCCCCATCCATCAAAGAGGTGGTGGTGGTGTTGATAAAGATGATGATGATGATGATGATGATGATGATGATGATGATGATGATGATGATGA